TTTATAATTTTGTTCAGTATACATATCCCAACCAGAAGCCATGGATTACAGGCAACATTCGCACTGAGCTAAAGGCTAGAGCTGCCGCTTTCAAGGAGCGGTACACTAATCCGGATGCTTATAAGAAATCCAGCAAACAGGCAAAGCGTCAATACAGGACTAAGATTGAATCCTACTACATCGGCTGTGACGCTCGTCGGATGTGGCAGGGCTTGCAAACTATTACAGTTTACAAACGGAAATGGTAGCACTTTGACACCCAGTGCCATAACACGTTATGACAAGGTCATAACCATGTCATATGTCATAACAGCTGACATAACTTGTCATAATATGGTCATAACCCATATATTTACACCTGTTGTGACATATTGCGTTATTTTATGACTGGTTGTAACACCTACATTGGGGAAAAAAAGTATTTAGTCAGCCACCAATTGTGCAAGTTCTCCCACTTAAAAAGATGAGAGAGGCCTGTAATTTTCGTCATAGGTACACGTTAACTATGACAGACAAATTGAGAAAAAAAAATCCTAAAAATCACATTGTAGGACTTTTAATGAATTTATTTGCAAATTATGGTGGAAAATAAGTATTTGGTCACCTACAAACAAGCAAGATGTCTAGCACTCACAGACCTGTAACTTCTTCTTTAAGAGGCTCCTCTGTCCTCCACTCGTTACCTGTATTAATGGCACCTGTTTGAACTTGTTATCAGTATAAAAGACACCTGTCCACAACCTCAAACAGTCACACTCCAAAATCCACTATGGCCAAGACCAAAGAGCTGCCAAAGGACACCAGAAACAAAATTGTAGACCTGCACCAGGCTGGGAAGACTGAATCTTCAATAGGTAAGCAGCTTGGTTTGAAGAAATCAACTGTGGGAGCAATTATTAGGAAATGGAAGACATACAAGACCACTGATAATCTCCCTCGATGTGGGGCTCCACGCAAGATCTCACCCCGTGGGGTCAAAATGATCACAAGAACGGTGAGCAAAAATCCCAGAACCACACGGGGGGACCTAGTGAATGACCTGCAGAGAGCTGGGACCAAAGTAACAAAGCCTACCATCAGTAACACACTACGCCGCCAGGGACTCAAATCCTGCAGTGCCAGACGTGTCCCCCTGCTTAAGCCAGTACATGTCCAGGCCCGTCTGAAGTTTGCTAGAGTGCATTTGGATGATCCAGAAGAGGATTGGGAGAATGTCAGATGAAACCAAAATATAACTTTTTGGTAAAAACTCAACTCGTCGTGTTTGGAGGACAAAGAATGCTGAGTTGCATCCAAAGAACACCATACCTACTGTGGAGCATGGGGGTGGAAACATCATGCTTTGGGGCTGTTTTTCTGCAAAGGGACCAGGACGACTGATCCGTGTAAAGGAAAGAATGAATGGGGCCATGTATCGTGAGATTTTGAGTGAAAACCTCCTTCCATCAGCAAGGGCATTGAAGATGAAACGTGGCTGGGTCTTTCAGCATGACAATGATCCCAAACACAACGCCCGGGCAATGAAGGAGTGGCTTCGTAAGAAGCATTTCAAGGTCCTGGAGTGGCCTAGCCAGTTTCCAGATCTCAACCTCATAGAAAATCTTTGGAGGGAGTTGAAAGTCTGTGTTGCCCAGGGACAGCCCCAAAACATCACTGCTCTAGAGGAGATCTGCATGGAGGAATGGGCCAAAATACCAGCAACAGTGTGTGAAAACCTTGTGAAGACTTACAGAAAACGTTTGACCTGTGTCATTGCCAACAAAGGGTATATAACAAAGTATTGAGAAACTTTTGTTATTGACCAAATACTTATTTTCCACCATAATTTGCAAATAAATTCATTAAAAATCCTACAATGTGATTTTCTGGATTTTTTTCTCTCATTTTGTCTGTCATAGTTGACATGTACCTATGATGAAAATTACAGGCCTCTCTCATCTTTTTAAGTGGGAGAACTTGCACAATTGGTGGCTGACTAAATACTTTTTTTCCCCACTGTACATAAGTCTCAAAACCCACACTTATTCAACTTTTTTGTTTTCCCTGCCAAGAAGTTTCCTTTAGTTTTGAAAGTTTGTTTCTTAAATCCTTTGTTGTTGTAATGAATTCTTTACGGTCATGTTTTTTTTAAATCATATTTTAAATAACTTGTAGAAAATACACTTTGACACTGTCATGAAGCATTATGACCATCCTGTGTCACTTTACTTGGACTAAAAAAATTCACATTATGACACTGTCAAGAAGCATTATAATAATAAATATAATATGCCATTTAGCAGACGCTTTTATCCAAAGCGACTTACAGTCATGCGTGCATACATTTTTTTGTGTATGGGTGGTCCCGGGGATCGAACCCACTACCTTGGCGTTACAAGCGCCGTGCTCTACCAGCTGAGCTACAGAGGACCACTATCATAGTCATATAAGCCAGAAAGGCCTATCACGTACATGCCCTTACATCAGTCAAAAAGAGGGTGTCTTGTCCTTCTCCTGAAATCTGCTCCTGCATTCATCCCAGTCATCAGCAACAGAGCATTGGAGTAGGTGCATGTCTGACATCAATGTGTGTGCAATCACATTGATAACTTAATATAGTCAATAAAATAACAAATGATATAACATGAACATACTGTTGACAAGTAGGCTATGGTGTAATGTAATGTTTTGTCTTGTGTGGTAGGTTTTGTGGGTTTTGACACTCTTATGTAGGTTTCATAACCAGCCATAAAATAACTACTGTGGTAGGTTTTGTGAGTTTACACTCTTATTTTATGGCTGTTTATGACACCTACATAACGCAGTGTGTCACAACAGGTCTAAAAATGTGCGTGCTTAGTCCCCTCCTGTACTCCCTGTTCACCCAAGACTGTGTGGCCACACACGACTCCAACACCATCATTAAGTTTGCCGACAACACAACGGTGGTAGACCTGATCACCAACGACGATGAGTGTGATGCCAGGACAACAACCTCTCCCTCAATGTGAGAAAGACAAAGGAGCTGATCGTGGACTACAGGAAACAGAGGGCCGAGCACGCCCCCATTCACATTGATAGGGCTGTAGTGGAGCGGGTCGAGAGCTTCAAGTACCTTGGTGTCCACATCACTAAGGACCTTTCATGGTCCAAACACACCAATACAGTTGTGAAGAGGGCACAACAATGCCTATTCCCCTCTGGAGGCTGAAATTCTTCAGATCCTCAAAAAGTTTTATACAGTTGCACCATCGAGAGCATCCTGACTTGTTGCATCACCGCTTGGTGTGGCAACTGCTTGGCATCCGACCACAAGGCACTACAGAGGGTGCTTCCTGCCATCCAGGATGTGGTCCTCTGTAGCTCAGCTGGTAGAGCACGGCGCTTGTAACGCCAGGGTAGTGGGTTCGATCCCCGGGTCCACCCATACACAAAAATGTATGCACGCATGACTGTAAGTCGCTTTGGATAAAAGCGTCTGCTAAATGGCATATTATTATTATTATTATTTATCCAGGACCATACCAGGCGGTGTCAGAGGAAGGTCCTCCGGTACTGGAGCGCCAAGTCTGGGACCAAAAGGCTCCTTAACAGCTTCTACCCTCAAGCCATAAGACTGCTGAACAGTTAATCGAATGGCTACCCAGACTATTTGCATTGACCCTCTTATTTTATCATTATAATGTATTATTTTTTGCACTGACTGTCTTGCACAGGCTCTATGCACACTCACTGGACTCTAACCACATACTACACTGACACTCCAACACACACACATGGACACACACACAAAACACACATGCATATTGATGCCAGACACACACATACATTCACCTTCGTTCACACTCCTTACATATTCTGCTGCTACTCTGTTTATTATTTATGCATTGTCACTTTACTCGTACCCCTGCACATTGACTCGGTACCGGTACCCATTGTATATAGCCTCATTATTGTTATTTTATTGTGTTACTATTTTCCTTTAGTTTATTTGGCACATTTTCCTTACTTACTCTGCATTGTTGGTTAAGGGTTCGTAAGTACGCTTTTCACGGTAAGGTCTACTATACCTGTTGTATTCGGCGCATGTGACAAATACAATTTCATTTGATTTAATGAATCTGTCTTCCACTCTGTTTCAACCTGTTGTTGAACTTCTTTCTTCAACTTGATCATCGCAGTGAGGTCCAACATTGTAACCTAACAGTGAATTTGAAAAGGATGATACTGTTTTGATGATAAGTGTTTGTGATTTTCGATTGCATTTGCATTGATGTCAGAGTGATTTAGAGGGACAATAGAGCACTGAGTAGCAGACCGTTAGTGATCTGACGGTCATTAGCGAGTTGGGTACTACCAACACATCAGCCCCATTCATGTACAGAGCGCATAGGAGGAGATTACTGTGACGCAACAGTCAATGGAATTTAACTGCGGTCATAACTGCTGGTGTGGCAGGAATACAGTCACCGCAACAGCCCGATGCACTACCCTCTGGAGAGCCCTGCGGTTGCGGGCGGTGCAATTCCCGTACCATGCAGTAATACAGCCTGACGGGATGCTCTCGATGGTGCATCTGTAGAAGTTTGTGAGGTCTGAACAGACATAGGAGCAGGTTAAGGGTTATGCATAGTACCTTGTATCAGTGTCCCCAGCCACTCATCCACCCGGTGGAGGCTAAATAGACTGGAATGCAGCTCTACGGCTCATGTTCTTCGCTCATGTTCTCATTATTATATGGACAGGGTGGCCATTTTGAGTAGAGGAGGTGGTTGATATGGAGAAGGTGGCCATTTTGAGTAGAGGTGGTTGAGGTTTGCTTCTTAAACAAACAATGATTAGGCCTAGGCTATCCAAACCCTGCCTATTCTCCAGTCACCCCAGTGGTGGTATTCCCCATATGATCTGGTTGAAGGCATGAAGGATGTGGGATTGATACTGGGGTATATACTGGTATACTGACTACGGAGTCCCAAGTTTATTAATAGGCTGAAACTGAAACCTGAAGAAGATACTAGACGATGCCAGCAGTACGCACCAGAGCAGCAGCCAAAGCCTATGACCAATGGGACCCGCACCTGCTGGCACAACCATCAGGGGAAAACATGGCCTTCCAAGGCAGTCTGCAGTTCTTTGGACCACTGCTCTGGAATAAGCTGGACTTATCCACACGGCAGCTAGCTAGCATGTCCGCCTTCAAAAGAGCTGTACACAAATCTAGTCGGATATGTGAGCGTAGTTTTTTATTTATGGTACTGTGTATGATGTGTGTGCTTCTGTGTATGCTGTTTTTATCTAGTCAACATTTATGTGATGTGTATGTTTTTATTAATTATATGGAACCCAGGACTGCCTGGAAAACAGTGGCAATTTTTAGTGGACTATTTGGCTAAATAAAATGAAAATGTATCTAAAACTGGCCCAGTACCCCTCACCATCTGTGTTTTTGTGTTTTGATTCGCTTCCTTGTTTTTTGTTATTCAACAGGCAGGTGTGAAGGGAACTTTAGGTCGCCTAGTTGGAATATTTGAGGTGAGTTTGTTATGACATGCTTAGGCATGCTAAAGCTTGTTTGGGAGTGGAGAGAAAATATAGACTTTGTTCAGAAAAAAATTATAAAAAAGGTCAAAACTGTATCTTACAGAACCGAGAGAGGAAACACAGAACCTACGTCTACATTCTTATCGTAACTGAGGTCCTGGAGGATTGGGAGGACTCGGTCAACATTGGTGAGTGGCTTTCATTTCAATCTGATTATACTACATTGTTTGAATTCTGGCTATAGATGCCTCTCATGTCTGTCTTTCTTAACTTGTGCCACAATTGTGTCGGTTCTTGTTTCTTTAACAGGGAGAAAAAGGGATTGGTTTAAAATAGACGATGCAATACAAGTGTTGCAGTGTCACAAGCCTGTGCAGGCCACATACTTCGAGCCTCTCAAGGAGGGTTGCCTGACCAGCAACGGGACGCCCCTGGTGGCCACGATAGGTGGAGACCTCTCACCCACCTACAACATCAACCAGAGCTCCGTGTCGGGTATCAGATAACTAAAACACAACGCTGACACAACCCCAGGAGCTCTTGCCACCACTCTCGCTCTTACTTCTATTCAATTTTATTTTGTTTTTTTTGTCTCAAATAATATGGTTTGCCTTGCCAAATCTTTTGTGCCAGAATTGTGGTGCAGACTTGACAAGGGTTGAATGAAGATTCTGAAACACTTTGTAAATGTAATTTTTGACCCCTTGTTCTTTTCGTTTTATTGAGAATTGCATGAAGCATCCCTCACTCCCTCATTCTCCTACCTTTACACACACAGCGTGGTGTTTATTGAATGCAAGAACTACTTTTTACTGTTGTGGTGTATATACTTAGTGCTTAAGCTCAATGCTTTCAGTGGTCTTTTTAATGTCTCCTCTTTTGGTTATTGTCTGTGTATGATTGTGCCCAAGAGCGTGTTTTCCCTCTTTTAAGGATAGGAAATGTTCTCTGTATATGATTAGACAGAGTTGTAGGAAGTGACTTGTTTTGCATGAGCACTGGCTATGTTTGTCTTGCACATTGGGGTGACCTGATACAGATTGTGCAGCAGATAGTCTGCGGTGGTAACTAAGGTCTTTGAATTCTTTTCATTTAGCTCCGCATTGTGGTTCTTGGTGTTAATATCTCGCAGGTTTCATCAGAAAGACAAGGCCCTTTTCCACATTTATGACCCGATTTGTCAAGTAGCCTATACATTTTCCCTTGGTCTGGAAGCTAGCTAGCCATTTCAATATTCATTTTAGGCAGAAAATATATAGAAATAATGTCTACTCAACTAAATATGTAGCCCAGTCCCCTTTTTTGGTGAGTTTCCATTGAGGATTTACCCTGGTGTTTTACCCAATAGACTGAGACCCGTTTTTTAACGGTCTCATAGTCTGTTGGTAGTGGTTTACTACAGACACCGAAACAGTTAGCAGATCCCCCTACCGACCAAAGTTATCCGTTTTATAATTTGGAATTGCATGGTGTGAACAACTGCAGTCTTCCTCCATTTATTTTCCAAAGGAAGGTGAAAGGACTACAGATTGCAGTGCCATCCATGGACTGACAATTGCCTTCACCCAACACATACCACCTTTTATCCAATTTTCAGATTCTCACCCCTTACTTTAACCTCCGTTTTATAGCAGATGTTTACATTGTGTTCACTTTTCAGTAAAAATGTTTTACCCTTTTTTAGTATTGGAATCTGCATCCCCAAAACAAACACTCAAACACCTGCTTGATATTGAAAGTAATTGAATCTAAAATGCTGTCTTTGGCAAGATGCAGAACAAACAAACAAGCCTTGTACAGTTTGAGACCTTGTTTTTAACATGTAAAAAATGCTTTTGAATACTAGTTTTATTTTTTTATTTTTTACATCTGGCAAGTCTCTCTAGCCAACCTGCGATACTTGCCTTAGATGTGGCATGGAGCAGCTGGCTCAATACTGTGAAACTGGAGGCCCTGTAGATAGCATGTAAGACGTTTTATTGTAAATGGTTTATTTCTGTATAGATCAAAGGTGAAAACAGTTTCTCTGATGCATTTGTGAGTGCTATATTTTGCTCAACCATGGCTGTAGAGTTGACTCGATCCCTAAACAAAGGGTGGCGTTGGCTTTGTAAGTTTTGTTGACGAGTTGCTTTGATACACAGTACATGCTCCCGAGTGGCACAGCGGTCTAAGGCACTGCATCTCAGTGCTTGAGGCGTCACTACAGACTCCCTGGTTCGATTCCAGGCTGTATCACAACCGGCTGTGATTGGGAGTCCCATAGGGCAGTGCACAATTGGCCCAGCGTCGTCCGGGTTTGGCCGGTGTAGGCCATCATTGTAAATAAGAATTTGTTCTTAACTGACTTGCCTAGTTAAATAAAGGTTAAATAAATAAATAAATGTTAAGGCTAAAGAACAAGTAAATGTTGCTGGCTTTGTATGGGGGGGTGAAGAGAAGACCCCATTTATCACGAATGATACAGAGGGGGGAAAAAGTATTTAGTCAGCCACCAATTGTGCAAGTTCTCCCACTTAAAAAGATGAGAGAGGCCTGTAATTTTCATCATAGGTACACGTCAACTATGACAGACAAATTGAGAAAAACTTTTCCAGAAAATCACATTGTAGGATTTTTTATGAATTTATTTGCAAATTATGGTGGAAAATAAGTATTTGGTCACCTACAAACAAGCAAGATTTCTGGCTCTCACAGACCTATAACTTCTTCTTTAAGAGGCTCCTCTGTCCTCCACCCCGTTACCTGTATTAATGGCACCTGTTTGAACTTGTTATCAGTATAAAAGACACTTGTCCACAACCTCAAACAGTCACACTCCAAACTCCACTATGGCCAAGACCAAAGAGCTGTCAAAGGACACCAGAAACAAAATTGTAGACCTGCACCAGGCTGGGAAGACTGAATCTGAAATAGGTAAGCAGCTTGGCTTGAAGAAATCAACTGTGGGAGCAATTATTAAGAAATGGAAGACATACAAGACCACTGATAATCTCCCTCGATCTGGGGCTCCACGCAAAAATCCCAGAACCACACGGGGGGACCTAGTGAATGACCTGCAGAGAGCTGGGACCAAAGTAACAAAGCCTACCATCAGTAACACACTACGCCGCCAGGGACTAAAATCCTGCAGTGCCAGACGTGTCCCCCTGCTTAAGCCAGTACATGTCCAGGCCCGTCTGAAGTTTGCTAGAGTGCATTTGGATGATCCAGAAGAGGATTGGGAGAATGTCATATGGTCAGATGAAACCAAAATATAACTTTTTGGTAAAAACTCAACTCGTCGTGTTTGGAGGACAAAGAATGCTGAGTTGCATCCAAAGAACACCATACCTACTGTGAAGCACGGGGTGGAAACATCATGCTTTGGGGCTGTTTTTCTGCAAAGGGACCAGGACGACTGATCCGTGTAAAGGAAAGAATGAATGGGGCCATGTATCGTGGGATTTTGAGTGAAAACCTCCTTCCATCAGCAAGGGCATTGAAGATGAAACGTGGCTGGGTCTTTCAGCATGACAATGATCCCAAACACACCGCCCGGGCAACGAAGGAGTGGCTTCGTAAGAAGCATTTCAAGGTCCTGGAGTGGCCTAGCCAGTCTCCAGATCTCAACCCCATAGAAAATTGACCAAATACTTATTTTCCACCATAATTTGCAAATAAATTCATAAAAAAATCCTACAATGTGATTTTCTGGATTTTCGTTTTCTCATTTTGTCTGTCATAGTTGACGTGTACCTATGATGAAAATTACAGGCCTCTCTCATCTTTTTAAGTGGGAGAACTTGCACAATTGGTGGCTGACTAAATACTTTTTTCCCCCACTGTATAAGCAGCAGAGATGCCTCAGATGTTCTACAAAGACCATATGTAACTTTTTGAGGCTGAGGTGTAATAAAGTGAAGTCCATCACAGTTGAATTGTTAACATACAAAATGGAGGTTCTCCACTGGGCTGAGTGCTGTTTCCAGACCACTAGTCTACTATACCTACCACTGAGCTTTTATGTCATTATCCTAGTCTCCTGACACAACCAATGCTTATACATACTGGGCACAATTACTACATCTCCCCATTATCTCTTCTGCCCTGTCATTGTTTCAGTAGCTCATCATTTGCCCTACAAAATGAGCATTATATACACTCGGTGGCCAGTTTTAGGTACACCACCCCATTCACGAAAATGGTTCACTCCTACAGACAGTGAGTCACATGGCCGTGGCTTGCTATAAAAGGGAGGCATCCAGTTACTGTTCGATTTAAAGTTAGAATGGGCTAAAGTGAGTGACCTAAGCAACTTTGAGCGTGGTACGATCGTCGGTGCCAGGCCTAGTATCTCAGAAACAGCTGGCCTCCTGGCCTTTTCACGCACAAGTGTCAGCGGCAGTCCTGTGGTCGAAAACAGCTAGTTGATGAAGTCGAAGGATGGGCTATTGCAGCAGACGACCACACCGGGTTCCACTCCTATCAGCTAAAAACAAGAAGCAGGTCCAGTGTCCACGCGATCACCAACGTCACCTGGTCAGACAAATCCCGGTTTCTGTTGAGTCTTGCTGATGGCAGAGTCAGGATTTGGCATAAGCAGCATGAGGCAATTGTGTGGGGAATGTTTTCCTGGCACACGTTAGGTCCCTTGATACCAATTGAGCCGATGAATTCAGGCTGTTTTGGAGGCAAAGGGGTCCGACCCAGTACTAGATGGGTGTACCTAATAACTGTCCACCAAGTGTATGTTATCCCCAATCCCAGACTGAAAGATGTAGGCCTATTCTATTATTTATGGGTTGTAACTAAATTGGTGAGTGGATTACTGATATCAATAGAAATGCTACTTTGAACCATTATTTATTGCTTTTTATAAACTGGGTGGTTCGAGCCCTGACCCTGAATGCTGATTGGCTGACAGCTGTGGAATATCAGGTACAACAAATTTACTTTAACTGCTCTAATTATGTTGGTAACCAGTTTATAATATCAATAAGGCACCTCGGGGGTTTGTGGTATATGGCCAATATACCACGTCTAAGGGCTGTATCCAGGCACCCGCGTTGCATAAGAACAGCCATATACCACACCCCCTCGGGCCTTATTGCTAAATTAAATGAGTTGCATCGAAAGGTTCAGGGGGCAAAGTCTTGGAACTGTCTAATGGAAACCAATGTTTCCAATACCACCCCACAGAGCAGAATACATTTAGGCCTATTGAATTATGTGGTCAGCCTCCCTTAAAGTCCACCATTTTCTTTATATGATAATGATCAATGAAGTTAGAGATGGAATTGGAAAATCTCTGACTGAAAGGGTTCTATTCAAAATGGGTACAAGGGAGAGCAATGAACAAATTACTGTGTGGATATCCATATGTAACAACCGATTAATGACCACTTGTTCTTTAACCTGTTTGTGCTGTCGATTTTCTTGTGTTCCTGATGAGATCTTCTACATACTCACTAAAGCAGCACTTTTAGCTAGGGGCTCTCCGATAAACCTTAGGCGTTGGTCAATAATTAAGTGTATTTTTCCCCCTTCAATCTCATACATAATTATGTTAACTCCTTTTGTTAATACAATGCACAATGGAAGTTGAAGCGAAGTGGGGTTTATGAATTCAATATTTCTCATCATTAGGAGAGGGATAAGTACTGTATGTATAATATACCCCGCTTGAGTCCTTTAGAAATGCATTTCTCTCTTCCTTAGGATGATTTCACACAGCACGCAGTGAAAGCCGGAAGGAGTGGATGAATGAAGGATGGAGGCATTCTAAAAGTCTCAAATGCAGCCTCTGCTCCGATAGGCCTCCTTGGTCCTTCACCTCAGTGATATAAAACTTCCCTATATCACAGTACCTAGTGGTCAGGCAGTATTCTGCAACGCATGTGAAACTATTTTGCCTCAGTCAGTGAATGTCCAGTTGAGGATTCTTGAATTCTCAACAGTATGTGTGTCATAGCATTGCATTTGGATAGTGTCTTTACTCTGACAGTGTGATTATTTTTCTATTGGACCATCCTGTATTTGGGGTGATACACCCTTGCTATATACAAATTGATAAGGCAAAACCGTAATCAGATGGGATTCAGTGAAGAAAGCTATTTGGACTACCTAAAATATTAAAATGTGTGCATTTCCCTCAGCACAAGCCCTTGACTTCAGCCTTGAATTTCCTTACATATTTGTAATTGTATTCTCCACGGTGTAAGTCAGTGGACTGTGGAATAAGCCAGTGTGAGAAGACTGAAGATAAATGTGCCAACAAATAAACACCAGTATTTCAGCCCTGGATTCCATTATCCTTTTCATGATCATTGTAACAGTAGGTGCGTCTACCTACTTAGTATTCTGCTTTTAATACCTGTATTTACTATAAGTTGTTGATAAACCCCTGACTGAAGGACTGCACTTTGAATAACCTCTGCCACGCTTTAGCTAGTATAATTACTGTAGTGTGTAAATGAACAACACTCCCCAGTCCACAAACATTGCAAGTCATATTGTGGAAAGAACATTACATTAATCCAGAATGGTCCATATTTAAAGTACTGACAAAGAAAAGGACAAAGCTGTGTTGTGTGTTTATTGTAAAGTAATTGATCGACATTTACTCCTGAGGAGGCTGTTGTCCTCGGCCACGTCCAAATCCACCCCTCTGAAAACAAAGAAAAGGATAAGCTTCCACATCACAAGACAGTTGGTCAGGAAAACAAGTGTCAAATTTGTCTACCCAAATAACTTTACTCAATGCGTTAGAACAGTGCGTCTGGCTACCCAATGTATGCAGTTTTTCAAACCAGTTTATAATCAAATTACAATTGCACGTGGCAATGTCATATTGTCGAGTCTCAATTTAAATTCAAACAAATAAGGCTTTGAATTGCCTATTATAGTACCATATAGACGTACAGTATACAACCTTTCAACAGTATGCTTTCCAATAAACTTAAAATCATTTTTGACCATTTATTATTTACTCTTGTCATGGTAACCAGCATACTGAGTGGGTCCCCAGGAACAGAGTTGAGAACACCTGTTTCAGACTACATTACCATCAGGCAATACAGTACTTACGAATTGGAACTCTGTGGCTGAACCTGCGCCTGCCTCTGCTTTCTTATCTCCACCAGCTGTAAAGAAAATAACAGCTTGTCAGCAAAACATTTTCCAGAATGTTTTAAAGATATCACCATTTTCACCCATTCAACGTCACCATTCATACTAGTTACAAAGGCTGAGGAAACAAGTAATTACCAAGACCAAATGTGCTCACCAACCACTGGATCCCAAGGCAGGGTTACTGTCACTACAAAAGCACACTAGGCAGCAGATGGTGAAAGCGATGGTTAGGATGAGAGAGAACATGTCACACTATACATACGTGGTGCAGCAGATCTCCTGTAATTGTCTCTATCACCCCCCTCACGGTTGAAGCGGGCGGGCCGCTCTCCCCTCTCTCCCTCCATACCTGGAAAAGAAGAGACAATGCTCAGCTGGGTGTGATGTCAAAGACTCAGAAACATCAGGTTTAGGTCCAATCAGTACCTATGACTTTACAGTCCAAAATCCAATAGTCCTCACTGTCCTGTCCTTGAGGGCTGCAGTGTATGCAGACTTGTTCCAGCCTGGCTCTAACCCACCTGATTTAAATAATCATTGTCTAATTGTGGTCTTTTTTGGTTACTACATGATTCCGTATGTGTTATTTCATAGTTTTGATGTCTTCACTATTATTCTACAAATGTAGAAAATAGTAAAAAATAAATAAATAAAAACCCTTGAATGAGTAAGTGTTCTAAAACTTTTGACTGGTAGTGTATAGAAGTGAGAATCGCAATACATATCGTATCGGCAACTAAGTATCGTATCGTGAGGTCCCTGGCAATTCCCAGCCCTAATGTGTAACCAGGCCAGCACAGTGCAGTTCAGCTCAATAGTGTGAAAATGGTAAGCCTATAAGTGGACGTACCCTTGGGCCGGGGCCTCGCGGTCTCAGGACGCATCTGGCGGCGCAGGGTGGCGGGAACAATCTCAGGTGGAAGGTGCAGGAAGTCTCTCAGGTACTGGATACCTTCATTGGTGAGGTACCAGTAAAAATGGCGCCAGGCAAATTGCTCCTTGACATACCCAAGTGACTTCAAGGACTGAAAAACAAACATGCCAAAAAATATATTTTTTCATTAAGACAAAGCCCCAAAATCCAACAGACACTTCAAATCTCAGAGACGACATGACACACTAGGAAAACATTTTCTGTAGACCAACTGTGTGCAAGTCTGAAAATCCACATCATGGGTGTATTCATTAGTCGGAATACGTTGCAAAACGTTTAACAACAAACGGTTTACTATAGGAACCAAACGGGGAGGGACCTAGATTAATTTGTCCAATTGTAACTCTCGTTTTCATGGAAAAGCGTTTTCAGTTTGGATGAAAGTTTCCGTTAATGAATACACTAGGGGTGTGCCGTGCGAGTCGTCTGACAAAACGAGTATTGTAATTGATATGGGCAATTTTCTGGATACGATTATGATCCGAATATTTTTTTGTAACGATCAGATTTTTTTCTTTGTGCGATCAAGCATGTTTCTTGTGTGTCTGTCACAGAGTTTCTAAACCATACTGTACTATCTGAGTCAGTCACGTGCGTGGTCTAAATAACTAAACTGGCTAATTTGCCTGTCTGTAAAGAGAAGGGCGGGCTGTACGTTGATTCTGGTGCTCTGATTGGATAGAGTGAAGCTGTACTTCTCCGTCCACTCGCTTCATATACTGAATAAAAATGTATGCGACATGCAACAATTTCAAAGGTTTTAGTGAGTTACAGTTCATAAGGAAATCAGCCAATTGAAATCAATTCATTAGGCCCTAATCTATGGATTTCACATGACTGGGCAGGGGTGCAGCCACTGGGGAGCCAGGCCCAGCCACTCAGAATGAGTTCTCCCCCACAAAATAGCTTTATTACAGACCTTTTATTGTCGCCAGCACAAGGTGCACCTGTGTAATGATCATGCTGTTTAATCAGCTTATTGATATGCCACACCTGTCAGGTGGATGGATTATCTTAGCTAAGGAGAAATGCTCACTAACAGGGATGTAAACAAATTTGTGCACAACATTTTGAGAAAGTAGCTTTTTGTACATATGGAAAATGTCTGGGATTTTTTTTTTCAGCTCATGAAACATGGGACCTACACTTTACATGTTGTATTTATATTTTTGTTCAGTGTAATTTCACTCGATCACTTTCTCGCATTTTTTCGGTCTGATCATTTAGATTGCTGCTGCCTGCCTGCTACTATGATAAATCACATGGCGAGGATGTTTGTTATCAGGCTATCAATGTGCATAATATCTAACAAGTGGGGCATGGGTAGGGAAAAAAGATTAAACACTAATGCGCATTCTGACTGAGTGACAGCAAACTTGGCTGCTGGCTGCAAATTGAGGATACAGACACGCACCCAGTGAGAATGGGCAGGGGGGTATTTTTGCCAACATCTATTTAGGCACATTAAATAAAAAATTTAGTTTTTTTCCCTATCACGAGTATCATACGATCCGACTATCAACCGTCAATTTACAGATACGATTATGAGTATGGCCATGTCGGCACACCCCTAGAATACACCAGAGATATGCATAATCTCATCACTGTGACACTTCTAGTCCACGCACATGAAAATTCACCTTGCTCAGGTCATCACATCAACAAAAATCACAGAATTCACAGATACAATCCAGTCTTCGTTTAACTCGCCAGCCACAGTTTATATGGACATCATGCTACTTGACAAGAACTGCACCGGTCTCAAAGGATAGAACCAACATAAAAACTCAAAAGAAGTTGCTCTCACCAGCATTGCTTTCATCACATGAAGGTTGGGCACGTTCTTGTCGGCCAGCTCAGGGTGCTTGGGCAGATGCACATCTTTCTTTGCCACCATGACGCCCTCTTTGAAGAGGAGCTCATAGATGGCAATACGGTTCTTCTTAGGCATCAGCATCTATTCACACAACCGACAATGAGACAAGCGTTTGCCTACATGCAATTTAACAGGGATGTTTACCTACCCACATACTGGCTGGCTAACTTAAGCCTACTACAACTACTACAATAATGGGAGCCCTATATGTCAACTACCCCAGCCGGTAGGTAACGTTAAGTAAGCTAGCTTCTTCGGACAACTAACTATGGGCTCATTTCCCAGGTGAGGTAGGCAACGAACCTTTTACCAGGGTTATACAGTCTAATGATAACACCACATTTGGAACGAGTTGAATTGTTACATCCGGCAGTGGTAAGTACCTATCACACTAGCGTTGACAAAAATGCAGTGATACGAGGACATGGCAGGGCAGTCCGTGTAGGTAGCTAGACTACCCTGCGTATTTTAACCTACATCTCGAATAATAGAAGGCTTTTTGGGGAAATGTGTGAATGTTTATAACAATGACATACACTTCTATCTCAAATTGAGAGTAACAGCTTCACACAATGTAAGATGTATGAGATTTATTCCGATTCTTTTTGCTGGGCATTTGCTTACCTTTCTACTTGCTAGGGGACCGGAACCGGAAGGAACGAGGGAAGGCGTTCAAGAGTGTTTATGCGCAGACGTTGGACCTAGCAGCTTTAGCGCCATCTACTGAACTGGCGGGAAAAGTGCTGTAGACTAAATAGAATTGCCGGTAAACAGGGAAATTATTATTTCTCATCGTCATTTTAGCAAATTAGCCTATGGGTAAAATAACAATGCACTTTTGTTAATAAAATAGGCAATTAATTTACCCATCTCTGCAGTAGACCTACACTGTTTAGCATACACCACTTATCAAAGTGTTTTTCAACCAGAACCACCACTCATCGTTTTTTTTGAAAATACGAGCTTATTAAATGTTTTAACATTACAGGAAGCTTTAGATACATTTTCAGGTCTTGTGAGGGGACTCCGCCATTATTTGCACTGGGGTGTTCATTTCAAGACCATAACATCAGTCTTCTAATTAGACCGTCCAGGGCCGGCTCTAGGCATAAGCAACATATAATAATAATAATAATAATAATAACATATGCAGTCGCTTAGGGCCCCCGGCTGCTAGGGGGCCCCACCCCCCCAAAAAGTTTTTAGGAATTGTCTGGCTCAACTTACTATTGAGGGTTAGAATAGTAGAATAGACAAGGTGTACGTTCGAAATTTGTTTGTGCATCAGCAGTTTTTCTCTTGTTTTGTCAATCACTGACAGTCACTCAATTTGCCATGTCAGCGAACATTTTTTAAATTGTTAAATTAGTCTAGCCAGTAACCTAAACTAATAGTAAATCATGGCCGAATACCGACCGGGCACGCAGAGCACGTGCCCAGGAGCCCTGACCTCCAGGTGGACCTAACTCTCACTCAGATATCATTAACATGGCAAAATGTGTAGAACTGCAGAAAACATGCTTTAAAACCGCAAAAATGTATCTCTGCCCAATGACAAAATAGTAGAATTGCATGAAATGTTATAAAATTGCAACATTTTTTCTCCACCACATGGCAAAATATGTATTACTGCTGAAAACTTGCTTTAGAACTGCAACAGTTTCTCTACTCCCCATGGCTAAATGGGTAGAATTGCGGCAAATTAACTTTTGAACATACATTTTTCTATCCGCCATCAAGAGGGGAGCCACAATTTTCTTTCGTCCGCTTGGCGGAGGGGTCCCCAACCAAATCTCGCTTAGGGTCCCCAAAAAGCTAGAGTCGGCCCTGGAACTATCCCCCATATGTCGCCTCTTGCCCCCCGCGTTTTTTTGTGCAGCAGAAGACAAGCCTTCACGCTGTCAATTGACCGATATTTCTAGCTGTTATAACGGAAACTATTTTTATATTTAGGCCAACAGGGGAGTTGGACACATCGCATTGTGTTCTCTGGTATGTTATGCATTTACAGTATATGCACATTCACCATTTACAGTTTGTTTCAGTAGAAAGAGCAATAATAGTCTAAGAACTGCATCGTTTAACTTGCTACACAATCCATCCTATGCTGCTACGGGTGGCAGCGAGACTTTTCCACCCTGCAGTTTTTGTTGTTGTTGCTTTATTCTTTAGTAGCCTAAATTGTATTACAATATACACTACATTACCAAAAGTATGTGGACACCTGCTCGTCGAACATCTCATCCCAAAATCATGGGCATTAATATGGAGTTGGTCCCCCCTTTGCTGTTATAACAGCCTCCACTCTTCTGGGAAGGCTTTCCACTAGATGTTGGAACATTGCTGCAGGGACTTGCTTCCATTCATGCGGGGACTTGCGTCCATTTAGCCACGAGCATTAGTGAGGTCGGGAACTGAAGTTGGGCGATTAGGCCTGGCTCGCAGTCGGCGTTCCAATTCATCCCAAAGGTGTTCAATGTGGATGAGGTCAGGGCTCTGTGCAGGCCAGTCAAGTTCTTCCACACAGATCTCGACAAACCATTTCTGTATGGACCGCGCTTTGTGCACGGGGGCATTGTCATGCTGAAACAGGAAAAGGCCTTCCCCAAACTGTTGCCACAAAGTTAGAGTCACAGAATATTCTAGAATGTCATTGTATGCTGTAGCGTTAAGATTTCCATTCACCGGAACAAAGGGGCCTAGCCCGAACCATGAAAAACAGCCCCAGGCCATTATTCCTCATCCACCAAACTTTACAGTTGGCACTGTGCATTGTGGCAGGTAGTGCTCTTATGGCATCCACCAAACCCAGATTCATCCTTTGGACTGCCAGATGGTGAAGCAGGGTTCATCACTCCAGCCGACGCTTGGCATTGCGCATGGTGATGTTAGCCTTGTGTGCGGCTGCTTGGCCATGGAACCCCATTTCATGAAACAGTTCTTGGGCTGACGTTGCTTCTAGAGGCAGTTTGGAACTCGGTAGTGAGTGTTGCAACCGAGGACAGATGATTTTTACGCGCTACGCGCTTCAGCACTCGGCTTGTTTGGCCTACCATTTCGCGGCCGAGCCATTGTTGCTCCTAGACGTTTCCACTTCACAATAACAGCTCTTACAGTTGACCGGGGCAGCTCTAGCAGGGCAGAAATTTGATGACCTGACTTGTTGGAAAGGTGGCATCCTATGACGGTGCCACATTGAAAGTCACTGAGCTCTTCAGTAAGGCCATTCTACTGCCGATGTTGGCTATGGAGATTGCACCACTAGCTGGTCCCAGGCAATAATTCACACAGAATTGTTTATTTGGGGCAAGAGGCCGGAGCACTCCCCAAAATTAAATTTGTCCATGAACACTCAGCTGCCTGAAAGGTTGCAACAAACACACACTATGTGGCAGTGGCATAACAGGGATACTTCTCCCGTTCATTTTTGAAATTATCCGAGATTTCTTATAATGTTCTTATGAGGTAGCAGATACCCTCTAGATTTTGTAACCAGATACCATACCATGTCTCACTGTAGACTACTGTACTAGATGTATTAATAGTTTATCTGATAGAGGTTGTTTATTGTCCTCATTCAAAATATGTACCCTATTTATGCAAATGTATGCAAATAGTTATTATCCAAAGCATGGTATGAGCTGCGGTATAATTGCGTTATTAGATAGTCAATAGGCTATCCCCGCGGCCTACTGGATCTCGCCAAGGAGGTGTGGGAAGCCCAGCTGACCCCCTTATGCAGAGTGGTGGAACACGTAGAGACGATGAGGGAGCGGATGACGGCCATATGGCCAGTGGTAGGGAACATATGGAGAAGGCACAGCGCGTCCCAAGCCAAGGTCTACAATCGGGGTACCCAGCCACGAGAGATCCATGTGGGTGACAAGGTGCTAGTTTTGATCCCCACCGCAGAAAGTAAGTTCCTGGCCACATGGCATGGGCCGTACGAGGTGACAGAGAAGTTGGGACCTGTAAATTACCGCGTACGGCAGCCAGGGAGACGGAAACCCCAACTTGCTCCATTCAGCCACAAGAGCATTAGTGAGGTCGGGCACTGATGTTGGGCGATTAGGCCTGGCTCGCAGTCGGCATTCCAATTCATCCCAAAGGTGTTCGATGGTGTTGAGGGCAGGGCTCTGTGCAGGCCAGTCAAGTTCTTCCACACCAATCTCGACAAATCATTTCTGTATGGACCTCGCTTTGTGCACGGGGGCATTGTCATGCTGAAACAGGAAAGGGCCTTCCCCAAACTGTTGCAACAAAGTTGGAAGCACAGAATTGTCTAGAATGTCATCGTATGCTGTAGCATTAAGATTTCCCTTCACTGGAACTAATAAACCTCAGAGCACGTTGCTGGTCCACACCTGCAGGTTGACTTTATTGCAGTTCCTCCTGGTGAAAACCCATTTAAAGCTGACATCTTTCAATAAAGAAAAGCATTTGGGGGTAAAGGCCTAGCAATGTACAGGTCGATTTTGTGTCAGCCGAACCCTGCACCTGGAAAGTTTATTTGGGTCTGCACATACACTATATATACAAAGTATGTGGACACCCCTTCAAATTAGTGGATTTGGCTATTTCAGCCACACCCGTTGCTGACAGGTATATAAAATCGAGCATACAGCCATGCAATCTCCTTAGGTATGTGACAGCAAGAGGATTTAGTAGGACTGATGTGAGTCATTCCTCTCGCCTCAGACATTCTCATTCTCTCACCATGCGCTGTGTTTGCGTTCCGAGCATAAATTAGCTGCATGAAAGCCATCTGCTGTTTGAAATAAATGAATCAACACATTTATTTATGTTTTTATCAGTCTGTTATGCTGCCTGCCACAATGTGTCCACATAAGGTTTTTACTCTGAAGTTGAATGCTCATGTACGGCATAATGCAACTAGAAGAGCAGTCTTTCTCGCTCTGTGTGTATGTGTGTTTGTCTGAGTGCATGCATGTCTCTGTCTCTGCATGTGTGTGTGTGTGTGCCCTGTGTTAGTGTGTAATTTCATTAATTAATGTGATGAATGGGCACCAGGACACACGTCTGATTTATACACTCCAATTCAGCCTGATGGAGGATTGACAGATAAGGCGCTAATTACTAATGTAATTAATTAGTCCAGATCATTTAGCTTTTCTTCTCCAAATGAATGTGAATCCACCAGTGTAGGCTATTTCCCAGGAGACATCCATTCATTGTTTGCCTCAGTAATTGTAATGTGTACCTAAAAGCCTCCTTGTCACATCTGCTCTCCACAATCTTAAGCCTATGCTAAAAGACACTGCATTTGATTTAGCAAAATCACTGGTTTTATCCATTTCCAGGTTGTGTAGCCAGAAGATGCATTATTTGAAATAGTAAGGTTCAGCAATGCTGTATACAGATTTTCCAGATTTGTAGTAGGCCTAGATGGAAACAGATTATTTGGATCCATATTAAACATATTTGTGTGGCAAAAAACAGAATATGCTACTTTCAGTATTATGTGTGTGAATTTCACATGAATGTTATTCATTTACAAGATGCCTTTTACATGGCTTCCTATAACTATATAATTAGCCAAATCCATCTTAACAATATAAACTACAATATTTTCTGTGATATCCACTGACTTTTTTGGCATCATAATGGCTTTGATGTAATTGACTAGTAGCTGTCATGTCTTAC